CTTACGTCCAAGTTTGTAAGCTGGTTCCAAACAATCTATTAAATCTAAATCCCATACTTCTATAATGGGGGTCATATTACCAATTGCACACAAGTTACCTACAAAACAAATTGTAATTGTAATTTTATAATTACATAAAATACGTTATACTCACTTGGTTTTGATTCTGTAGGATCGAAGTTAAGCCATTCTATACACAATGGAAATGATGATAATAATATGTCATGGTGACAATAAAAAGAATCTTCTGTTTCATTGTAAACTAAAAGTAATTTAATGATATATTTTATACGATATAAAGAAAAATTTATATTATTTATACAACATGAAATCTCATCAAAAAGTGTAATCAAATCTTATGCGCATACCATATATTTCCAAAATACTTGCATCTCCTTCAACATGTCCTATTAATACAAGATTATCATCACTTTTTATACCATCATCATCCTTTTCTGAATCATCATCATTATCCTGTGTTATTAAAGGATCTTTCTCATATGTATCGAACATTGTTATATTACCAATAGAGCAATGTATGTCACCCGCTATATATTAAAATAAACAATCTGATGATATAGTAAAAAGAATGTCATTATTCATCAATATACGAAGTTTATATCTTACATTCTTCATCATATTTTTCAAATTGATATTCATCACTTTGCAGTACATCGAAATGAGATTTGGTTTCACTTTCTTGCTCTAAAATTTCACCGAGTTCCTCATCTAAATCACCACTTTAAAAAGTAAAACTGTTTTAATATCTATCAAATAGTTTTTAGTATACAACTGCAAATTACTTACTGCAATTCTGAATGTTTCTCTTTTAAAATATTTTTTAATTCTTTTGGTGTTAACTCAACCTATGAGTGATAAAATCAAACATACAACATATATAACTTAATAAAAATATTACTGCATTACAAAACTTATAATACTTAATTAACTTATAATATCAATTTATTTAAAAATTAACCTTTTCAGGGTTTGTAGCTGCAACACCTTTTTTTACCCAAGTCATACACGGAATTATATTCATTTTTATTCAATATAATGGATATAATATTTAGAATAAAAATATAGGTTATTCTTAAAATTTCTGTTTTATTTCCAAAAATAATTCAAGTGTCCATGTGCTCACAAGAAGCACCACACAGAGTATTCTTGCTACTATAACCTAATCACCTGTGATATCACCGTAAAAATACCACTCACTACAAAATTACAGTAACAATTACAATAACAATAGTGAAAAAACAATTTAAGGGTAAAAATTAGTTAGTGTTACAAATCACGAATTTGTTTACTTTACACTAAAGATTATAATAAAGTTCAAAAATTAGTACAATAAAAAGATTTATATTATAATTTTAATTCTGCAAATGATAATGATTCTATCATATCTTATGAAATAATAGTTTTAACTTTTCTGAACATTCAGATCAAATGATTAAAAAATATCAACAATACTAGCAATTACTTTACAAAAGGACGTTTACTGTTTAGGATATTTTTCTATAACTGAATTATGTATATTTTAATATAAAATGCGATATTTAAAATGTTTTATAATTCGAAATTAAGGAGGTTTATAAATTATATAAAGTATATTAATTACTACATTCTAATACTTAAATGCATAGTATCTAAAAATGTATACCTTTTACTCTTAGATATTAAATTAATTTTTTGAAATTTTGTTCTTACTCAGTTTAAATTTATGAAATTTTGATGACGATAGAAAAGTTACAAGGATCTTCAAGGTGTAGATGAAAATTCTTATACCAAGTCATAGAAAGTCAAAACATTTTTAAATTTATGTCTGGAAATAAATGATAATTTTTATTTTAACACTCTATTGGTAACATTGCAATTGATATGTAAATTAAGTGTAAGTCCCGCAAATTCCGTTATATCCCATCCATAATTTAAATGTAAAATGAGGAGAAGAAGTTTAATGAATGTTAATGTACATCATTATTATTAATATATCGATCATAGTACAAAGTTTGGAACACAAAAACAAAATCCAAATCATTATTTTACGTATAATGTTAAAAATTGTATGAAATTGTTTTCATCAGGATATTAAGTTCAAACCAAGGTCATATTTTTTTACAATCATCAGTACATACTATTGCAATTTTGCATTTAAGAAAGTAGAGCTTATGATTTCTTCTGCATGCACCCACTGACTTATCGAAATGAAACTAATTTTACTTTGTTATTTAGAAATATTATATACCTATCAGTTTCATGTAACAGTTATTATACTGTGTATTTAGTTTTCAAAACAATGGTAAGCCAATGAGTATTTTAACACACAGAAGTACGAATTACAAATGTTTCAGTGAAAGTGTCCTGAACCTAATATTAAAGAGTAAGAATGTCAGAAGCTCTAGATTCTAGTAAATGCTCCATGGAGCTAACATCTTTACACCATCCATCGAGTCTTTGAACCATTCCAACTATTTGACTACGATCCAGTACACGAGGTTGTACCCATGTCATGTTCACTGTTCCTGCTACTTGATCGATAGCACCACGGACTAAACCTTGAGCTAAAGCTTTCATTACTAACAATTCTACTTCATCGAGGGGTAATCTAGTTTCTTGAGAAATTTCTGCAAATGTTAGTTGTCTGCAATATAAAACATTTAATATTATCATGATAAATCAATAAAAACTATTTGTGTTTAATAAATGAAGTATAGAAAACAAACCTGTTATTTGCTTGCCGTTTGAATGTCATTTCCATGAGACATAATAGAGAAATTTTCTGCCTTAATTTTAATTCTTGGGCTGCTAAATCAGCAACTTTACTCCATTGTGGTTTTAATCTTTCTAATGCAGCAATGTCACCAGCATTGAAAGCTTGCAATAGATCAACTAACCAAGAGTTGGGGGTACCTTTCAAAGATTGTAATACAGAATGTGCTAGTAACTCCCCAAGGTTATAAACTCCTTCACCCAAAAGAGCAGCTAAACCAAGGAAAAATGCATGCTGTTCTTGTTCTTGTCTGCTCAAGGTATTTAAATCGATACAACCCAAATATCTGGAAGATAAAATTAAATTAAAAAAAAAATATTATAAAAAACATTCAAACAATGAAATTAAATAAAGCAGGAAAATACCTTAGAGCAGTACGGTAGTATTCAGCATGTTTTCCTTGCAAGCGATAAAGACGACTGGCTAACAAGTAAAATCTACCATGAACCGTGGTAACACCATCAGCATTATCTAACATAGATTCTACTTCTTCTATAATTTTCTTTGCCTGCTCCTGGTTGTTTAATTTATCCAACAAAATCTGTCCTATGAGGACTTTACAAAGAGCTACTGCTTCATTGCAACTTTTAACTTTAGACTCAGTTTTTTCCAAAAACTTAATTGCTTCCTGTTTATCTTGAAACTGTTGTATTACAGCTGCTAATATTTCCACCAAGGATAAAGGATTTATCCTGTACACAAAATATTCACAAGCATTATATATAAAAAAGGAACAGTAACGTTGTAAAGTATTTAATGATCTGTTTTATGCAAAATTTAAAATGTCTTAAGGAGCTTAAAATAAGTGAAAAAGAAAAGTGAGGTTATGACTTAACATTTTTCGAAAAACGTATATGTATTGTACTTACTTATTTTCAAAGGTAGATAAAAAATTAACATATAGTTGTACCAAATTATCTCCCTTCGAAAGAGATGGATGTTTCACAAATGCTTCTAATTTGAGTGTCAGCTGATGCCAAAGCCTGCAAGTCACCGGACAGAGAAAGCGATATCAACTTTTTATAATTCAGAATGGATACAATTCATAACATTTTGCAGATAATACCTTTTATTATATAATTCTTCAAGCTGTGCCCACTCTGCAGCCAATTCTTTGTCTGCAACATTTTGATTTTGACTTAAATATGTAACAACATCCTTTGGTGCCACGGCTGTCGCCATCTTTAATAACAATGACTAAAGCCGAATCAGTATAGTGAAGTTAGGTATTCTCAAATTCTATATGTGTAGCATCGTAACACGTAGATTATTTGTCCAATGCGAAGTTTTGTTCATTTCTCCCATTGGTCAGAAATTATGTTGTTCCACATTATTACAAGAGTATGCATACTTAATAATATTTAGAATTATATACTTTCCAAATATGTATAGTATGGGCAACATAAATTAATTTATCAAAATGTTAAACATAACGCATATCTAAATATGGAAACATCACATTAAGTTAAATTTTACATCTACATTTAAAAGGTAATAAGGCGATATGCAATAATATTTGATTTTAAACTGTTTAACAGTTTTTAAAATTCAAGGGTGTATTAAATTAGTCTATAAAGTAAATCTGCAATTAGCTAATTAAAAAACTTAAGAATTAATTACTTTTTGAAAATTATTCCTGAAATATTAGAATTGCACATGTAATAAAAAAATTAATATTTTTATATCAAATAAAATTTGAATAATCAACAGTCAATATTGTGTTAATCGATATAGACTTTAAGAATTCTTATTGTTAAACAGTTTCCTTATAAACGATGCCTCTCCTACTTTCTACGGACTGCTAAATAAAAAAGGAAAGAAAAACTGTATGTATACTCGCGTTGTTCACGAGTCATAGCCCGAAACGGCACAGGGGCAAGAGGGGTCTCTCGCTAGAGATTTTGTTTATGGTTTTGATTGGTTATGTGTAACCGTATTGATGAATAGCATATTAGTATCGAAAATGAAATAAGAAAAGATGAAAGCTGACTAATGAAACCTGCATTCTTTTCAGGGCTGGCTTCGTGAACAACGTGGGGTAGAAATGACAACTTCTTTATACGTGTGTATTCTCTATCCTGAAGTACACAGCCATAAAGTTCGCCCGCTTGTTAACGCAAAATTCTGTAACTACGTTCATAGAACACAACTTTCGTACGCATGAATACACTGGAAATTGATTCTTGAAAACTGCCAAAGTTTTGCCTCTGTTTAGCGAGTTTAGCTTATGAAAGCAAATATGTATTATGCATCAGTTAACTATGCGGTGGCGGGTTTTCCCCGGATGATTGTTTTTATATGAATTGTGAATTCGTTTAATTTACCAATGTGTAGTTTCAGTTTATAATACACATGCAATTAAAAAAAGTATTTTCTGACATCATAAATATTGTCTCAGATACATGGAAAAAGTTTCAAAAAGAAGACACATCAAATTCAGTAGTTGATTTTTATTATTATACTAATTGATTTTGGTAGTAAATTACTTAATAGTATGTTTCGAATGTGACCAATCCGTACAAGCGTTTATTTAATGCTTCGTATTTAAGCATAAATTTATTAAGATGTTAAATATTCAACGAGTTTTGACACTTACTTCTCTGTTATTAATATTTAATTCTTATAAAACTGTCGCTACACGAAATTTATCATTCACTCCTATTGTTATTGAAGGAGCATATGAGAAACAATATGAACTTGTCATAAATACTACTGTTGAATATGTCTTCTTGTATCGTACTAACAATGTGAGTATTCGTAGCTTCATATTTAATATTTCTTACATACTTTCCTTTTTTGTTTACATATTATACGATATACATATGTTCTCAGGTAACATGGATGCAAACTGCGAGAATAAATGTTGAAAGCAATGCCACTCATAATCTACCTCTTATCGTAGTGGTGCGTGGAAAGAAAGAAACTCTGTCATGGCAAATTCCTCTTGTTGTAAATAGCATGTATTTTAATGAATTAACTTATAATAAAACCAGTCGCACACTGTGTTCGACGAAAGATTATCAGAATGCTCAAGGAGACACAGAAGAGTTTGTTACTATTAGTTTATCTACTGCTAGTTACAATAATATTTCATTCAAGCTTAACGTAACAGAAGATTTTCATTTCTACTTGAGGTATTGCTTTTATTAAACTTTACTTTGGTTAGTACTGTATATAAATAAATTGTATATTGATAAGAAAAGGTTTTAATAACTGTTATTCACTTTGTTTTAGATTAGGAGAAAATAGGTCAATAGCAATTTCACCATCCGAACCTATATTTTTTGGTTATACCTTTCCGGAGCATGCAGAAAGTTCCTCTGTGATTGTCCATGTTACATCTGAAAGTGACGTTTGTATGACAGTTTCAGTACAAAATACATCGGTGAGCGAACGTAATTGTGAATATGGATAGAAACAATTTTGTTTGTATATATATCACGAGCAAAAGCCACACTTTTCATTTTATAATTTAAATTATTTTCGTTATTTAAAAAAAAGATACATAATTTGTTTATGACTTATATATTATTTGTTACTTATCAATCTTAATGATAATTTTTCTTGTTTCCAATAGCAAAATCAATACATTAATTTTATATTATAATAGATACTTTTGTTTATTCTCAGTGTCCTGTATTCGATTTAGAAAGAAACATTGAATTTACCGGTGTTTGGCAAACTGTAAATCGACAAGGGGGTATTACTGTGCCAGTGAGTATTTGTCCCAACTGTTATCAACTATAACTTAATTGTTTCAATAACAGCTAATTAAACATAAAATTGAACTTCATTTTTTTCAGAGGGAAGCATATCCATTGGGCTTTTTTGTTGTGCTAGTAGTAAAGGGTGATGATACTGATTGTTTTGGATCACCCAATATGATCTCTTTAAGAAATAAGAATGTGATGCTAAAAATAATTGATGGTATTACCAAACAAGATTATCTTATAGCATCAATGGTAGCAATATCCATTATTTTTAGTTTTTGTATTATCTATGTTGTGGGTGTAGTGGTATTAAAAATTAAAGAAGGCAGGAAAATTTCCCGTGAGTTGTACAGCAGTCAAGAAACCGAAAACATTGATGAACCCATGCCAAGTCCTTCAACCATAGAAGAGGTAAGATAATAGTTAAGGTGTATTAAAACTTGTTATAAATGAATAATATTAAGTCTTCGGAGGATACATGTGTTTAAGAACATCCACCTATTACCTTACATCTTAAAAAATTTTCATCGTAATGATTACCTTTAAGTGGGATTGTATTAAAAAATAAATTTTAATTTCATAAAGAGTTATAACAGTTTTGAATATTTGGTAATATTTTAGGTAAAACTTAATAATAGTTTTATCAAAATGATATACGATCAAAGTGGCAAATTCAGAGTTGTGGGAAAATATCTTATATTTTTTATTATTGTTTTTCTATTTGAGTATGTTCCAGAATTGTTAGTAACAAATCAACAGAACTAACTAACAGAATTGTTAGTAATAAATTTTAAATCGAGTTAAAAAAAATGAAGTTTGAATCGCGTTGAAAAGTTCTGTACATGTACATTTACATTTTTCGCTGTTGAATTATGTTCTTCTATGACATTTATTTATTCTACGAATTATTATTATTTTCATATTATTATTTTTCAGATTGGGCCGCATCAGTCTGTGATCGAAGAAGATTCTTCATTAGAGGAAGATGATATTGATTTACTGGAAGATGCTCTTTCCGATAAAGAAGTAATACGAACGAAACTAGTGCTTTCAGTTTGCGATTTAGCACGCAAAGATCCAAAGATTCTTAGACATAAATCTAAATTATATTTATATTATTTAGGAACGGTTGCTATTTTTTATACTTTGCCTGCCGTGCAACTGGTTATAACATATCAGAAAGTACTTCAGGTTACTGGAAATCAGGATATGTGTTATTATAATTTTCTTTGTGCTCATCCATTTCAACAGTTGTCGGATTTCAATCATGTATTTTCCAATTTCGGATATGTAATATTAGGTCTTTTATTTATTTTTTTGACACATTCTCGAGAACATAATGAATTGGAAAAAGAAAAAAATAAATGCTATGGCATACCCCAACATTATGGATTATTTTATGCAATGGGCACTGCACTCATTATGGAAGGTATACTCTCAGGAAGTTACCATGTATGTCCAAATAGCAGCAATTTTCAATTCGGTAATATTAATAACACCATGTACTGTGAATTGTTTGTCCCTTTGATGTGTTAACTAAATTTGTCTACTTTGTTCTTTTAGACACCAGTTTTATGTACATCATAGCAGTGCTTTGCATGATCAAAATTTATCAAACTCGTCACCCTGATATAAATGCTCGAGCACCAATCACATTCGGTATTCTGGCTTTAATCATATTCATTGGATTAATGGGTGTTCTGAACGGGTCAATTTTTTTTTGGGTCACATTTACAATTGCACATTTGTCAATTTGTTTGTTTCTAACAATTCAAATTTATTATATGGGACGGTGGAGATGGTATGGATTCAGAGGTATTATTACAAGGATGATACAGGTAATCTTAAAATATTGATGTATATACATCAATATACCTACTGATTTTTTAAAGCATACTTCTTCTTACAGAACTGCAGATACGACCTACGTATAGGAATTGGACATTTATTTCGACCGTTATATTTGGGACGATTTATAATGCTTGTGGTAGCAAATTTATGTAACGTTGGTCTCGCAGTATTTGGAAATATAACTCATGAGAAAAATTTTGCAACGTTCTTATTAGCTATACTAATGTCTAATTTAATTTTGTATACCCTTTTTTATATTGTAATGAAGGTATGTGTAGATATTCGAATACTTCAAAGCATCCATATACTGAAGGAGTTAATTGCTTTTATATTTCAGAAATGTCATAAAGAGCGGATTCTTCTTCAACCATTAATGTATATTATTTTATCGATTATATTTTGGGCTGCTGCTATGTACTTTTTTATCAACAAAACAATTTCATGGGCGCTTACTCCAGCACAGTCTCGTCTTTATAATAAACCTTGTATGTTTCTAAGCTTCTTCGATAGTCATGATATTTGGCATTTTCTGTCTGCCTTTGCAATGTTCTTCTCATTCATGGTTCTGCTTACCCTAGACGACGATCTTGTCGATGTACACCGAAGTCAAATACCAGTCTTTTAAGGGTAATGACACGAACAAATGTTCATTCATAGTTACCTTTTTTATCTCTTTATGAAAATATGATTATATATAATATACATTTTACCTTGATCTTAATAAATTAAAAATAGTATAAAATATATATGTATATATAAAGATCGTATAGTAACTTTTTTGTATTAAACGCCTTAATTCCTTTAAACACTCAGATTTATAGAATTTTTCATGATTCACCCCTTACAAGCAACCCAATTCTTAATAAATTAAAATTCTTTAAAGGCAAAGGAAGTTTTTAATATTATGCATTGCGATTATGAGAAAATTATATTTAACATTTAATAAAACTTACCCATTGTCTTTTTTTTATCAGCACAATGGAAAAATGGCGTGTAAGATTGTTTAGTTCGGCGAAATTAAACTCAATGAACAAACTTTTTTATAAAAATAAATATATATATATATATATATATATATATATATATATATATATATATATTTATATATGTAAATATATACAACATATATAACATGTATATATGTATATATATAAATACAATATAATATAATATAATTTCTATATTTATGAATACACTTATCATAAACAATGGGCATATTTTGCCATGGTTTAGGAAACGGCAGTTACACTGTATGATACTCGATAGTATCATTTTGAACCGTATTAACATACGTGCTCGTTTTTTTTTGCTTCCTACCATCAAGTAACGTTATCGACAGAAGCAATTATTAACTTTGCAAAATTATACTATTCCCGTAGAATTTACTATTAACAAGATGAATTAACGAGTGACTGTACAATTAATTCTAACGGAGTTACATACACCAGGTACGTGAATAGACAGAGAATCTTATAAACTTTATCAAAAACATTAGGATGAGGCACTTGAATCATTATGATGTTCTTGGGTAGTAGTCTCAATTTGTGATAATGTCCTGAGCAATTCCGCGCGTTCAGTTGGCTGTAACCTATGAGCAATTTCCAAAATTGCAGTTAACCTGACCTCAGGACAAGCCTCGAGAGCTTCTTTGATACGAGAAACAACTGCGTCTTGTTTTACGCAAGTAATATTTCGCGAAACAACACTGTTTTCGCTTTGACGTTGACTCTCCAGCCAGTTGGTTACAGTTTCATCCTGATCCCACAGGTAAGATTCTGTAGGACCTTTGTCTTCTATAAACCATCTTCGTAACATTGCACCAACTTGTCTGACGTCAAGACGTGGTTGTGTAGAAAGAACTTCTTGTTTTATTTCATCTTCCAAAAGTCTTCTCCTGAGCCGCCAATAAAGTAACTTACGAGCTGTTCGCCAAGGAATTATGTCATGAATCGCGTTCTTCTCAAACATTCGTTCCGGGGTATCATGGAGATCTGCGAAGTGAACCGCAACTTGATGATACATAGATTCCACCTCTTTTTCTCGCTTACGTATTTGAGACTCTATTTCTGTTCGTTCCTCTGGCGAATTTACAGTAGATAATTTTTCCTGAAAGATCATCACTTGTTAGAGTAAACATATTTGACTTAATAAGGTAATGATACTATAAAGGCATCTATGTTAAATACTCTCTATATAGTAGAATTGGTTGTATTTTGTTGCACTGGTGCAAAAAAAGTAGTAAACATTCACCTTGAGTTTTAAAACTACCGTGTCCACCCTATTTATAGTTTTAAGTATATCTTTTGTCCTAAATTTGATTTCAACTATTGCCTCAGGTTCCAAAACACCTGCTCTACTTGTATTGTCAGCAAACATTTCCATGTAACGAGGGTTTATAGTCGGATCAACTACTGCCCAGGCACCACCTCTTAATTCTCCATGTGGTGGAATATATATAAATATTGGTTTTGCATATTCCCGTAAACCATCTACTATGTAAGCGCCGAATTTGATAATTTGCTCATACATATCTGTAAAAAAAGCATTAATTGTAATTAGCATAGAAGGTAGTAAAAATACTATTTTCCATGATAAGGTTATTGTAATGCAGATTAATTATTAGGAATCAATAAATACCTTTCATTCCACCAGAGAATCCTCTCCAGTTGGCGAAAATAAAAAGTGGTATTTCTTCTTTCGTAAAATCTTTAATAGCTTGGGCAGTTTTGTATGCACTGTCAGGGAACCACACTTGTCCTGCTTGAGATATTGTTTTCGCCTCTGAATCAAAATTAGCAGGATCAGCTGGTAAATGTAGCTCAACACATCTTGTTTCAACTGCAATGACACCACACGGAATTCCACCTAGTCTGGCTCGTCCGGTTACTACAGTTTGAGCCCAAGGTTTCATTATTTCCTAGGAATAAATTTTTGAAATTTTAAACTTTACTTTTGATTTTGTTCTTTTAAGTGTCTTTTATGGTTAACCAATTAATTTATCTTTTCGATTAAAAGACACTATGTCAGACATGTTTCGTATAGCAGAAAAGGGTAGTAAAATATAAAAATATTGTAATTAAGAGTTATAGTACCTGCCAAGAACCACGATCAAAGAATCCGCTTTCCCATGTATTGGTTTCATTCTGTGACCATTTGCCCTCGAGCATCCACCTAGGATCATAAGCTGCCTTTGTGGGAACATAATCGATTTCTCTGTAAACTGGGTCGGGAAGAGGTGACGGTAGTATCGGAAGAGGTGCGCCTTTAAATTTAGGACAATAACTCAACCATCTTAAAGCAGTTGCAACACCATCTAAGTCCCTTTCATCCGTAGCATGTGAAACACCATTGTTATGCATGATTTGTATACCACCCAGTTGATTATTACTCGCGTATACTTCACGACCTAATACAGCATTCAGTGCTCTATAACCGGTTAAGATAATGTGCGAGTTCTCTATTTGAATGACTCTCTGTCCAAGACGTAGTAAGTATGCTCCAATACCGATAGCTCTACAGGATACAATAGAGATTGTCACTATTTCCTCGTAGGCTCTAGACGTTTCTCCAGCGATCATACCGGCATATTTTAAATTCTCTACGCCAAGACCATCATCCTTGCCGATAATATCTGTAATTTTGTAACGAGATTCTCCTCGATCTTCGATCAACGAAGCTTTCACAGAATTAAGTGGTGCCAACCGTGCGTAGTCATCCGGTGTCAAATAAATATACTTAAATCCTTTCTCTGGTTCATTATCATCCTCCCAGGCGATCTTGAACAGTGCCTTTACTTCTTCTGCTAGACCAATGCGTGCACCAGAGTTCGCAGAAAAGTAAATTCTAGGAATTCCAAGTTGTCTAGCCCTTTCAGACGCTCTGCAGAACAGTAAGTCTTCTTTTGGACCAAAAGAGCCAATTAAATGTGTCAAATCATTTGCTATTAATATAATATCTCGACCGCATTCTGGATACTCTGGTGTGTAAAGCCTTAATCTCCAAGCCACCATGCCGACATTGTTTTCACCGGGAAGACGTTTTTGCTCTACCAAGTTCTCACCCTCTAAAACCAATTCAACACAATCCATTACTGGATTTGGAACAGTTATATTGTAATTCGGCCTCTCCTCTATATATTTCTGCCATAACTTCTCTGTTTGTTGCCTGAACATATCAGGCAAATCGTACACATATGTTGTACCAGCACTTTGAGCCTGGAACCGTTTCGCTTGAAGATAATCTTTGGTTAAATATGGCGTGGAGATCGGCAGACCATGCATGGGTCCTGTTCTCCGGGTATCGCTTGCCGTCGGTGAAGGACAAGACTCGAAGCGAATAATACCAGTCTTTGGATCTGTTACCTCTGTGTATAGATGCAAATCTATGCTGTAACCGCTATCATTGGCAATGCACAAGCGTATAGTGGATATTGGCTTGCCCGGCGATGGACGAATTGTCATTTTGATCTCTGCGTGACGTACCCTCAGCTTCCATAAACGAGGACCGTATCTGAGTACCATACTAGTCACGCTCTCCTCTATTCTTACTGGATCCATAATGACCGTGGGAATGAAGTTCAGGAAAATATGATTGCACTCGGTGCGCTTGGCAAGCGGATGTGAAAATGCAACTTCTAATTCGTCCATAGCTTCCAGTAAAACACGTTCGCCCTCGTTATGAAGATAATCGAAACTAGCTTCTTTGGTAATCAAATCAGAGTGTCTTATAATGGAACGAATGAAAAACCGATAATCGGTGACTTGTTGACCTTTAGCGACCTTCGCTTGACCGAGATAAAGGTGCATTTTTTGGTTTGAGGTAGGCAGAGCCTCCAGATCATAAGTTCTCATTCTGTTCAGTTCCAATTGGAAAGCGCAACCTGGTTCAAGATGTCGATAAATCTTGTCTTCCAAGAAACCGTCTCTTTGGCGGAAGGTAAAGAATTTTGGGAATTGCCTCTTCTTTAAAGCAACGAACGTTACTCTCCTGATACCTCGTGCGATTAGTCCTTCTTTATTCCAACTACACCAATCTCCAAATTCTTGCGCCAGAGTGGCATCATCGTGATTCTCTTTATTATCTTGGACGGCAATGCTAAGGATGTGAACCGGTTCAGCAGGTCTTTCACCCATTTCTACTGTGCCGGCAGTTTCTGCAGTACTTATGGACACGTTTATGGACGTGCTGTGCCTGGACTCGCTGCCAATTGCGTCCACTGCCTCCAAAACTTTGGCCGAGATTGAAGTAGGTGAAGAGAGATCTTCTAAAAGGTCTAGTACCTCATCAGCGTATCTGACGAATTGTTCCATATCTTGGAATGCTGCCATAGCTCCAATTCTGTGATTAACTGAAGACTGATTCTGTCGATTGGGGTGATTTATAGGCAACAAGAATTGAAAATGCACAAGAGGAACTTCGCCCGACAATTCCAAGTGTTGCAAACAGGTCAATTCGTAACTAGTATATGCTCTTCTGACGTAGACTTCTAAAGCAGCATTACAGACTGTACGATTAGTATGATAGAAGAAATCATGTAGAATATCGAAGATGGACGTTTCAGAGAAAATTAATTTCTGCAGATTCTCCGGGTGGAAATCATGACCATACATATCCACTGCTGACAGGAATATGGATTCCATTTGGTTGTGCCTCAATTCGTAAGCAGGCTGATGAGCAGCGATCAAAATTTGCCTGGCACGCAACGCGACCCTGCTATGCTCTGTACGATTTAAGCTAGTCAACTCTGTCAATGTACTCGACAATTCGTCCGTAAGACCAGGTTCATTTGCCCAAATATGATCAATCAGCATAGTGACTAAGACGTTCTTTCTGGTAACCTGATTGTGACTGAAAATCATGTTTGTTACCGTAGCTACGTCATCTTTGTATTGTTCTATTAAAGCTGAAACACATTTGTCGTAATGGCCTTGCTGGAATTGGCTTTCGACAGTGTAGTACTGTCTAAGAAGCTCGTGTACGGCGGTTTTCATTCTTCCACGTATTCCATTTCTATATTTTTGTACCAATTGCACTATAGCTTGCGTAGTCAAAAAGAAAACGTCTCGTTCGGATCGCTTCGATAGGGTGGCTGCGTGTCCATCGATCACGGCAGCGATTTGCTGACTAGGAAATTGGGCTAAAACGGAAGTGATGTTTCTTTCATAGAGTGACATCAATTTCCTAATTTTCTTTTCAACAGAAATGGGGATTCTACCAGAGATTGTGGCGATCACTTCTTGAAGCTCAAGCAACGGTAAATTTGGATCGCGCAATGAGTTCATGAACATTTCAAGAAGTTCTCGTACACGTGGCACGTGATATGGATCGGGTAAACAGTATCCCGCCAAAATATTCTCTAAACTGACTCTATACTTGGCATGAAGATGATTTAGTTTTTCCGAAATAGCAGGAGTTTCGCTTTCTGGAAATTGACCAGTGTATTCCTGGGCTTTGGTTACCAAAGATGGATCGTCTAACTCTAAATGAGCAATCAGAGTGCCAGCTTCGAGAATGGCACCTGGTCTTTTAACGTAGAAAACACTTCCAGCTTCACCTGCGGTCACTGTCATCACCATTTTCATAACTTCAATTTCGGCATAAGCTTGTCCAGCGTTTACATGCCCACCATCGTCAACCAAAAAGTTAATCAACTTCCCGGCAGAAGGAGATCTTAACAAAGATGGATCATTGTCTTTCTCAAAGATACATGTCTGATTTCCTATTACGATTCTATAACGGTCGACTTCTTCTCTCATATAAGTAGTGAAACTTGCACCATCTAAAGAGAGTAGCAAACCTCCATCCGAAAGTCGATGCACTTCTACTTCTTTGTAAGAACCGTTCATGATAAGAAAATAAGAATTGGGTCCTGATTTGGCTGTTTGTATCTTATACTTGTACTCATCGTTGATAAGTTCAACCTGAAATTAAAGATAACAATCAATAAATATAGATGCAAAACCTAACTAACATCTAATATTGTTCTATAATTTATAATGCTACAAATAATTGACAAATCACTTGAAGTAGTAGAAAGAATTAAAAACACAATTTCAAAAAGTTCATAGAAATTTTTCGTAAAATCAAAAATGTAATTTCGAATTTTTTAAACTAATGTTACTTGGCAAGTTATAAGAAGAAGATATAAAAATGGTATAAAACATCTAATAATAAGATGATATGAAACTGTACAGTGTGGAGTTTATCTTTGTTCTCTATCTACGATAATAATTCTACTGTTATTAAACACTCACATCGATTATGTTCTCCAAATCATTACCAGCTTGTATCTGTCCCTTTTCTAATGCCGTTTGAAATCCAGTAAATGCAGCAGTGATGGTTCTATCAACAATGTGAAGAGCGCCACAGGTTACAGCTAACATTACATCTGGTTTGTCGCTTCTAACACGTTCAGCAATTAATAAATCAAGCCAAGCCGTGTCTATATTATTTTGTTGGAAGGATTCTGTTTCCAATAATGTAATGAGATATTCCACAGTCGTTCTGAAATCACCCCTGATGCTCAACTCTTTTAGAGCAATGACCAAATTTTCTCTAGCCTGGTTACGATCTTCTCCCCAAGAGAAACAGTGACCGAATTGCGAATCTGCGAATTCGTGGAGACCACCAGATGCTCCTACCGAGAAGTAACCCCATACATTCTTCGAAGATCGGAAGTTCAGTTCTTGGACAGTGCCAGAACTTGGTTTAAAACCTGAAAAGAACATTCTTAATAGTTTCAATTTACATTTATATTTGTGCATGGTAATGAATAACACTATAAATATTTTCTATGGGAATTATAATGTTTTAATTATAAAACAAATTAATTTGTACAAACATTTGTAATCTATTGATATCATAAAGTATCATAAATTATGTTCCTTTTAAATTTTGGATATTAAAATTTATTCTAAGCTAATCATAATTTCATAATGTAAATTTTGTTGACTACTATTCTCTTGTTCATTTAAGATCTGCAATCGAAAGTTTAGGTAGGGATACAGGTATAATTAGAAATTTAAAATATTTAATTATACTCGTGTAAACTACAATTGTAATTGTTTGTATCATTTTACCTTCATCAGGATTTTCACTAGTAATTCTTGCAGCTATCACATGACCCCACGGCTGAGGTTTGTGTCGCGGTTGATCGAAATCGATAACACTGTCGCCCCATGGACTTTCACCATAAAGAAGACGAATATCTTTAATATGATGAAGCGGTAATCCCATAGCGATTTGAAGCTGGGCTGCGGGTAAATTGACGTCTGAAACCATCTCCGTGCAAGGATGCTCCACTTGCAGACGTGGGTTCAATTCCAGAAAGTAGTATCGTCCAGAAGTGTCGTACAAGTATTCAACGGTACCTGCGCTGACATACCCGACCATTTTGGCCAATCTTACAGCAGCCTATGGTGAAACAACGCAATAAAAAGTGTTTTACTTAAATGCAAAGTAATTTTCTATGGACTTTACATTGCACTTCGATGATATGCTTATCAGCTATCGTAATTATCAGCTATAGTAATTACCTTTTCCATCTCTTCGAACACTTCCGGCTTGGCAATCACGGCTGGCGCTTCTTCAATAATTTTCTGATGCCTTCTCTGAATAGAACAATCACGACCAAACAACGATATAGCGTTTCCATAATTATCTGCTAATAATTGCACCTCTAAGTGTCGGGCACATTTTGCCAGTTTCATAATAAATATTGGAGATCCAGGTATCTCAGTTTGTACCTGTCTATGAAGAAAGTTTACAAGTTAAAAAAACGTGTGCAAAATATAGTATGTATACGTAAACTAAAATTTAAAAAAATAATAGGAACACGAACTTCCTTTAGAAATAACATTTGACTCAGAACGTTATGGAAATGCGTTGACATAAGTGAACTGTATTTCCATCTAGACATTCATTCATTTACCTAAACAACGTAGGCAGTTCTTCAGCGTTCTCTACTTTTCTGATGCCTTTACCACCACCTCCTTCACTGGCTTTCACCATGACCGGAAAGCCAATTTTGTTCGCTGCTGCCAAACACTCTTCTATCGTTGAAACACATCCCTTTTTAAATAGTTCCGAAGATATCTTTATTTTCTTTCCGCTATATTGAGCTTTCAGCTCTGATCCCGACCAGGGCAATGTTGGTACATCCGCGGTTTGCGCCACTATACTGGAAGCAATTTTGTCACCAAGGGCCCACATTGCTCTCTCGGATGGTCCTAAAACGATTTTCATGGATTCCATGTAAATTGTCGTTATTTAAATATTATTTAGATGATTCAGATAACGATGAGAAATAATATTTCTTCCAGATAATTTTTTTAATCTAGAGATTTCTACATTTATATTTCCATGTCTTTAAAGTTAACTGTTGTTATAAGAAAATTTTAGTACAAATAGATCGAGATCACAGAACCAGGATAATCACTCATGAAAATTCAGCTTTCCGCAATCTAATTTCCGAAGAGAATACTGGAAATAACATTTCTTAAATGTCAAATGATAATAATGAAATATTCGTAATTAAAGTAATATATCTTCCGTTAATTATACTTTTAACAATTCTTTCGTGTGTCCTTACAAACCACGAACGTAAACAATCTGTGTATCATTAGACACTTAACGATTCTTCCGGTTTAGATAATTTTTCTCATCGTACCGATAAACGAGATGTTGTTCTTGTGAAGCAATTCCGGCAATTTTGGATTTTCCGAGGCGTGACCCCATCCAGCCCATACTGCCTGGACTTGGAGGCGTATAGCAATGTCGACGATCAGTTCCACATTAGCGTAATTGTTGTTGTTCGTGCCGCCAGGTACAGGGACATACTGATCAGCCATTTTTATGTATTCCGCGTTCGCTTTCAAATCTTCCGGTGTGACCATTACCACGAACCTCACGGCCCGTTCGTTCTTGAACATCTCGTAGGACCAACGGCGTATCGAGCGCATGCATTTTACCGCCGCTATTCCGTTATTCGCGATCAGCACCTGTGCAAAAACAATTTCTATGTAACTGTTAACGCATTGGCAGTCGGTGACGTAGATTCGTGTCATTTTATAGTCTATCCTTGGTTCCCGTTGACGTAGTCCTACGTCATTGGACACGTTTAAATTTGTTTCATGACGTACTCCTAAACATGATAAAGCGGTATTTTTTACTTTCCCTATCTCGAGTTTTGAACATTCTATAAAATCACAATTGTGTCCAGCTGAGGTTCTCGTCTTAGAATTGTTGGGTGTTCGAATGTTAATACAGTTTCGTGACCTTTCTGCGACCTTAAACAAGGTTAGGCTAGTGATAATTCTTTCAGTTTCTATCGCAGTGATAAATAATCAGAACGGCAACGTTGTTTAACCTAATGTTCATTTTGTGTCTTTCGAGCGTTCATCTTTTTTACGGAACGTTTTGAATAATTCATAAAACACGTATATTTCTACAGTTCTGCATAAATTTGAATACTTTCGAAGGACAAAAGGATTCAGAAAGTAACATTTGCTAATTGACTTTTCAAAATTATTAAATAACGTTTGTGGCTCGAATTTATTGAAATGATTAATGAAATCTGATTCTTTTTTATTTAACATCATGATATCTAATATCATCATTTTTTAGAGTAGAAAGGTATACCCTCATATTAAACGCCATCGAAACAGGTACGGTGGATTTAAGGTCACTCAAGGTCAGTTATGGGACCTTGGCCGGTTAACGTTTGTTGCGAAACGGTACGGTGAATGCCGCGTAACATGTTCGAGCGGAACAACACATTTCTACGTTGAATGACCTGCTTCGGCGGGTTTATCTTATTTTAAAGAATCATTTTCATTCTCATTCTCTTTTTCATTCTCTTTTTCATTCTCTTTTTCATTCTCTTTGTCATTCTCATTCTCATTCTCATTATCATTCTCCTTCTCCTTCTCCTTCTCATTCTCATTCTCATTCTCATTCTCATTATCATTCTCCTTCTCATTCTCATTCTCATTCTCATTCTCATTCTCATTCTCATTCTCATTCTCATTATCATTATCATTATCATTCTCCTTCTCCTTCTCATTCTCATTCTCATTCTCACTCTCGCACAATTGTATCTGTAATTATTAAAATCATTCGGCAAATGATGCCACTTCACATTTTCTGATACTTCGAATTAATTTTACAAAAAGACATTATATTACACGTGTCTCGAAATATTTATTTTCTTTCCACGAACACGTCACTAGAAAGATCTATGTACGTGATCTATTTTGAATGTAAAGTCTACACGGTGATGTAATATCACTATGGAAATCGTTTGTTGTAGATTTTGTATGTACTAAAAGTCTTGACATTACGTCAGATATTGATCTTTTCTGATCCTACATCGGTCTACGCTAAATATTTCACTTTTTCCAGCGATTACTTTTAATAGCGACGACTTTCAATAATCTTATTGTTCGATAAATATTATAAAATTATTTGGAATTGTAAAGAGTTAGCTTATGGGTAGATGCAAAGCACAAACGATTAATTGTGTAATTATTATCAATTTTAATAAAAAATTATGAATTATAAAATATGTATCAGGAATATTGAGCTCGAGAAACCTTCAGCTTCGATCTCCGAGCTATGAACCACAAATTTTAAACTACAATCCTTGAAATCTAAACTAGGAATTAGAAATTTTATTAAGTAAGAAACCGTAAATTTTCAATTTCAGACTATAAATCTATTAATATTCAGAACTTGAAATTGTAAATATTTTACCTTAAGCGAACTATGATTAGAAGATTACAAATCACGGATTGTGTGCAATAAGATAAGAGCAACAAATTGTCGATTTCATTATTACACTAGCAAGAAACAATTCTAAAATCAGCATTTTGGTAAATCTAAAAGATCATTTCTTTTGAACAAGTTTGATGCACTTTTCGACCAAATCGAACAAAATTTTATCATTATTTACAATCAAATCAAATTTAACTGGTTTATTACTTTATGTGATTTATTAGTAAACAAATTTTTGTGGTATACCCTTTGGCCGAATGTAATCAAATTTTATTATTATCAAAAATCAAGTACAATGGAACTGGTTTATTACCCTAAATAGATTTGGTACACCTTCCGATCTAATTGAATAAAAACTCATCACTATGGAAAACCAAATAAAATCGGTTTAATCAGTGGAAAACAATAGTGTGCCTTAATCTAATGTTTCGGATTAACGATAGTTACCTTGTTGATGACTTTGGTACCGCCGAAACGATGAACAAATTCCTCAGGGGTAGCGATGGTGAAGTCCTTCTCATGGAGCCTACTCTGCGCCTGGATCATCACCGTGCCCTGCGACATGCTGGGCCTACGGAATTAAGTTGAACATAGCTTATTTTTCACTGTACAAATCGAATCGTTCCACTTTCGAGTAAATAAGAAATTGAAATCATTCGAAAGATTCGTAAAATTTCAAAACATCCTCGATGGTCCTTCGTCGATTGGCGATCCAAAATTGTATAGACATGGCATTATAACTTTCAGTTAAACTCTGTTGGATTTGACATTTTCTTCAAGAAAAAAGAAATTCGAATAACAGATATGTTACAGGATAGACTTTCTTTAACATTGCTCAATTTTACGTAGGTAATCTTAATTTATTTTCTTCAGTACTACTGCTTTAGCCAGTTGTTTTACGTGTTTGGTCACAGAGGTTCGTCCAAATAATATTTTAAATGCCAAGAAACAAAGACGAGTAATCATTATTACATATACTTTTAAACAATGTATGGAATACTTACATCCCAAATTGTAAATTTACTTGTATACTTTTTAACTGTTAATAGTAAATATTTTTCATACACTTAACAATTGTACAGTTGCATTTTTAACAGTACAACCATATAATGATTATTATTGCGTCGTCCCACTGCTATTGAAATCAAGAAATACATAGAAAAATCCTTAAAAAGAAAAAAAGAAACAAAATAGAAATGGGTAGTTCGGAGGGAAATGGGAGCAACCGTTTTCCTACATTTTTCAAGGCAATTCCAGTCATCCATTAGTAGGGTATATAGACGTGAATGACAGCGGAGAAAGTATACGAACCGTTAATTTAAGCGACTCACGCAACGCCATTCCTACAACTCCGTAACGCTTTCTGAGCCCTCTACAGTATAGCCCGTTTGAATGTATATGCGTCATTATTTTTCTACTTTTTCAAAATACAATGTGTTTCACGCGTTTCGTTAAATGTTTTATAATACACAAAATAATAATATTGCTACACACGTCTTGACCGAAGTTAAGAAACAGGGTAACCTTTATGAATAATATATTACATAATATTATAGTCTCTAGATATTATGTCTTATAAACTGAATACAGGTAATTCTGAACATATTAACATTAGAAGTTTTACATGCTTATGTAAAACTACGATTAAATATACACGAATAATTACCATATTTTTAAAAGAAATTACCTAGCGAGAAGGAGTATTGTATATCTGAACCTGTTACAAAAATATCAATTTCTTTTGTTAAATATTCACATGATTTCCCTTTACTATAAGATTCATTTCCTATATTTTCTGCCTTTAGTGTAAAGTAGAAAATGTGGAATATTTGAATGTTATTTAAATGACTTCCTGTACAAGTAATATAAGAAAACATATTAAAATGTCACTTGATTATATTGTTTCTGAATTTTCGTTGGTCTATTTTAAAAAGTTACGTTGACGTTGAACGTTCCGTGGATAATCATTTTCAACGAATTGTTTCGTCAAACAACTTTCATATGAATTATCCTTTCACGTTTCCGAAAATTTGTATTCCTCCGAATTTGTCGTACTGTTTGCGATGCTCAGGCAAACGAAGAATACGAATGAGTAACTAGACGGGACCGTTCCAATGAAGGTCGAGAGACGCGAATCATGAAATTTTGACTAGAGGGAGATGCGCTCGTGTGCAGACTTTAACCAGTCATCTCCTTCGCGGTTCGCGCTTTCAAGATTTCAAGGACCTGTCCATCCTCGTTGGAAGAATTGCAGTTCGGAAGTCAAGAATACTGAAATACATCAACGCGAGTGTAACCGAATACAAGAGAGAATTTTATTCTCCGTTATTATAATGAAACAAATCTGACAATAAAAATTTTAATTCTGTACCAAAGAGTACCGAAGATACGACAACATTTATCTTCTATTAAAAAGAAAAATTAGCTGACAAATGACTACTTTAAAGAAATCTTTTTAATATGATTTATTTTCAACATTGTTGACAACTTTTGTCTGCTCCTTTTCTTTAAATTAAGAAACTATGTTTCTAATTGAAAAATGAAAACTGAAAAATCTTTAAAACTATTGGAACAAGGATCTATCGACGATAATGAAATACCATGTGCACTAGTCAACCATAAGGTGAAATTTAAATAGTTTCCAATCAATGATCTTCACTTTTATAATTATTTGAGAATTCTATAATTTCACCATTCCCGAAACCCCGCACCAAATATAAAAATGTATTACGTTAATCCAGTTGCCGAGTGATGTTTCTCACTCGATAGCGTATCCATCGTAGGCGACTGTTCCATGGAGGTCGATTCCGCGTGCATTTTCGATGCACCAACGCCAGCCATCAGGTTATCCGAGGACTTCCAAACCGGGTCCTTCTCGGTGCTTTGCGCCAACACGAATCTTTTCATGCGTCTCATCCTGCAATCCCCTTCCCTGGTGTCTGCGCAACCAGAAGTGTCAAGGATCTTTTAGATCAGTGATGAGCGACCTCTTCTTTGCAGCGGTCGCAGATCGAAATTCCAATAATCCATACAAGTAATCGTAACCGTGATCAGAAAACATCGAATCGATTGATTTGAAAGTCATCAATTTATACAATGAGATGTCGTCGGTTTTCTTAATTTATCATCATCTTACTTCCGTATTATTGAATAGAATTGATGGACCGTGTGCATAGCTCATCACCGATCTAGGTAATCCCTCGATGATCGAGTTCAAAGCAAAACACCGATCACAACTTGTAGAAAAGACGTGAAATGAAGTTTTCTTGCTCCGGACTTTCCACAGGTGAAACTTCGTAATTTTCCTGAGACCCAGCTGCAGGAAAGAAAGTTCAAGGGTTCAATATTTTTTCTTCTTTCTGGATGAATCCTCCTGGCGCATGCAAATCATGCATTATTTTCGTCGGATAGTATTGCGCAAGGAACACCAAGCTTTTTCCTTGACGCAAGGCAAAGGTTTCCTGGCCTCGGAATCCTGTTTCCGCGTAAATATTCGAGCACTGCGTATACCGAGCGTTCTGGTGATTCTTCACAAGACACTTAAACATGAATTCCTTGCGCGTCTCGCGTAGCTTCTTGCGCGGATTCGGTAAAATACGAGCATGTTGCGGCGAGCAACGCCATTCATCAAGAGAATTGCACTCTCACAGCTTAAAATTGATTAAAATTGATAAAAACGTTTCAAGTCTTCTCGCTGGAATCCCTCTTCCAATCATCACAAAACAACCAAAGGATATTCAATTCTAAATAGATTCGATGAATCTTTCAAGTCAATTTCCACACATGAAAATAATTTTCCTATTTTTTTCATTCGAATGCTGCATTCGTGAATCACTCTTGTTACGTTACTGTTCCGTATTGTGTCGGGTAAATATATTTTTAGCGAGGGCTTAAAACTTGATTGATGAGCCTCCAGTTTCGATTTTGATGGATTAAGAGTCGGTAAGGTAAAGATGGTGAATGAATTAGTATTTTTTGCGGAAAGTTTCGTTGATTGACGATGAAGAGGATTGTAATTATGCTGTCGAAGGAACTTAATAATTAGAGTTTGTTAAAACAAAATAACAAATGAATTCATTTTGCTTCGTGTCCTCTTTGATCAATAATAAATTGGTTCTTTTCGGTGACCGGAAATGGATTATTAGACTGCGAATCCTGCGCGTTGTTGTCACAGCCTTGTCAATGGACTTGTCACCTAGTTGTCGGTGAAAGAGAAAGTTCAATGATGCTCACAATCAGTCCAACGTACATTTAATTTATAACTTGATGAAATTCTTTTTAGGGGCAACAAGCTTCTGTTCAAAATTGATAATGTCATGAAAGTTCACGATCTACCGATTACTCAGAACTACTTATTATTAATAAACCGATGAAAATTTAGATCTCGTAAAGGATTTGACAAATTATAAACAATCGTAATAATTCCTTGTACAGACTTCAACAGCAATAGAAATCTTGTGGTCGATGATTATAAATAGACCGCGGTGTTTATGCAATAGAATGAATGCAACATTCACAGACTATTTTAAAGGTACTATAATCAACGAACAAAAGTACAAGCTTTACAAGTCCCTGGTACAATATTCATTCCATTGTCATGCACATTGTTACGTCTACTACGTTGACAATGAAAGTTCTTCGCCACCCTGTAGTACAATCAATTTAGTGTGATTAATTTCATTTCATTGCCAAGAATAATGAAATATTTCATTTAGAATAGCGTTCAAAATAAATTTTTTTCTCAGCTTTTACTAGCATTTGTTGAAACTTTCTCTCAAGTAAGAACTTTATGAGTGCATAATATCCGCAGTTTAATACTAAACGCGACAATCAATTCCAATTATTATTATCTTTCTTTTCAATTGTTGATCTCAGAGAACATAGAACTTTGATAGAAGCAAATAATTATCAACGAATCATACTTTGAAAATTATTCAATCGTTCTCCTAACACTTATAGGAGTTCTGTTACTGACAATGGTATTCACATTTATAATGAAGGGAATCACTCAGAGTAATTCTAATATCAGTTGATGAAACTTCAGATTTCCGAGAAAATTCTGTAAAATCATATAATCAACGAATCGTGCAAATTTTGAAATATAATCGATCCTAATGAAAACCAGATTTATTAAATAAAGTCTAGCGAAGTAAATATTTTAATATAATTAAAACGAAGAAAGATTGTACAGCACGGTTAAAAGTCTGGAAGAATTAATTTCTCTTGTTATCAAATAGTCTCTAAAATCATCAATTTGTACAAACATCAGCAGTCCAAACGTGGCCATAATGAATAATTCAAAGTATTCCAAATCCAACGCGGGTTTCCGAAATTACAGAACAAGTGTGGAGAAACTCAAATTCAAATTCGCCGTTTAGAGAAACTTGACGATAAACCCAATGACTACAAAGATAGCGATGCCATTGCGTCTTCCAAGTTCAGTTGTCCAAGGTCCAATCTTAATAGACAACAAGCGAAACGACGCAACCAGACAGGTGGAAAACAATGCACTTACGGTGAACGAAACTTGTCAAACATTCGTAAAGCGCAACTTTCAAACTTGACATTTTATATTTCATTCTCTGAATCCTTCAGCGAGGAAAATCAAATTCCACTCCGATCTTCCTCGAATCTGCCTACGAAAAGTGAAGTCATTCGAAACTTCTAATACACTTGAGAAGCGCGAAGTTAATTGAAACTTAACATAGTTTCAATTTTAAAGTTCATTCACTGAACCCATCAGCGAAGAAAATCAAAGTTTACTAAAACATTACTAAATACAGAGACATGAATTTGCATCAAGTACCGCGGTCGACTATTAGGAAATTTCGAAAGGAGTCGAAACACTGTATTATTCACAGACACCTCTTGGCTAATGAGCTGCGAAGGTGAACGTCTTAACAGATCGTTCCGAGTTCGATTGGCCAGGTGGTCGGAGATTCGGAAGAGGAAATCACATGGTGTTCACGATACAGGTCTCGAAGCGATTCGAACGCACTCGTCTAGCATTCTTAGAAGGTCCGTGGCCACTGACAACCTGCAAAGTGGACGATTCATTCCATCCGATATTTCCCCCTACTTTCTGGCTCGTTACACGAGGAAGTAACGTGCCTTCGCGGCGAAGTGAACGGACATTCGAAATCCTCTGCGTGCGCTATCTCGGCCAGCAGCGGTGTGACACTTGGTTTTTGGATTCTCTGAGCGTGGCCCGTTGTACGAAATCGCTGGGAACTGTGAATATCGTGATAAATCTACCCATTAGATAAAGATTGTTGCCCAACAACTGTACGTCTTTATTATAAACGAGAAGGTTGATGTCATTCGATATGATTGGATTCCTGCGCGTATTTGTTCATATGTTGCCGGTTATTATGCACTTGCGATTTCCAAACATCGTTAAATAAGAATAAAACGAGAAGGTATTAACTGGATGAGGTTCAATAAAAGGTGCTCTTGAATTAAATTGAACAGACAATTCACTGTCCGATGGTTTGTCGAGAAGTATTTATAGTCGCATCAACACTTGGGTCATTAGCGCCTAACAGAGAGTTTACAAGTTGTTCATTAGAGTTAACCAAGAAGTACTTTGTACTGAGTTTCAATCCTTTACTTTAGTCAGGAGAGCAATTATAATGAAAGGTCAGATAACCAGTTTTTGTTCTATTTCTTATTTGTATAGATAATTGTAACTGTGCGAAGACGCATGTGTGGAAAACAACTAAAGAAAACACTGACATATTCCAGTTATCGAGCTACATTATGAACTCTTTTCTCATTTGTTGGTTGAATATTCTGAAAATTGTGAAAAATAAGAAATTCTAAAATACTCAAGTCAACGAACATTACTTGTTGAAGTTCAAAAACAATATCATCTATATTTTAAGATTATTTTTATTACGTATATTATTATAATTATTGTATTCAAACGTTTTAAGATTTGATACAATGAATCGTAAATTAAAATAATAACAAATCTACTTTTTTCATGTTTGTCATAGGGAAAAACTACTGCTTCAAATCCTAGAAAGAAATATTTAAAACAATAATCATCGGGAAGTATTATAAAAATTATTAAATAAAAATATCTGTCAAGGAACCGAAGCATTAAAATACTTGGTATAGCGAATGTTCGATGGAGTAACTGTATCAAAATAAGGCTAAGAAAATATTTCACTAATTTCCGGGTAACTTAATCCGTTTCTTATCTTATCTATCATGAAAGAATGAATATCGGGAAAGAGAATTTGACTGTAACGAGAGTAACAGTAAGATACAAGGTGGAATGTAGTTCGCGCATAGATTACATGAAAATGAAAGTATTCTATACATAAAGGTGTATTGAAAAGAGTGAAATAAAATATTTATATAAGAAGAATTCTCTGTTTTTAATCTTTAACCTCTTATTAATTTCTTCGAGGTCACATACACTTCATATTTTTTATTTTATGTTATTCTTAGATTCTATATGTGCAATAAATGTCACTATTGTCATTATTATGTGTTCTAGCTATTGATTTTGCTATTTTTAATTGATAATTATTATCAATATTATCAGCTATATTATGAAATAAGCATTCCATTATCACTATTTCTAACTAGTTACGCAAGTGGAAATGGTTTGTTTTTAAATTACAACACAAGCAAATTGTGTTAATGTATAAATAAGTCTACGAAGTTTTAAAACTATATCAATAAATCAAATAGTATAAATTATATAAATTTTCAAAATTAAGTTTCACAAAGAGGAGAATTCGCACGACTGTAATTCCGCGGTGTTATCATGTTTTGTTTATTTTTAGACAAAAGGATTACCTTCTTTCTATTCGTAGCATATGTTATTTGATATATGATCGCAATATGGTATAATTAATAATGGTTTATTTTCATTCGCCGTTCAGCGTCGCATTCTTATTCGAACAGTTGCGTGCTTATCAGAATCAGATAAAAGAGAAGTAATTGATGGGAAATTAGCAAATACTATCGACCGTGTAACAAATAGTAATTATATAGAGAATTGTATTTATGTACTTTGGAAACAATATATAATCAAATATGAAAATTAATAACTTCAACCCCTCGCAATTAAAAATTAAATACTAAAAGAGAAATGAAATGAAAATTATAATATTTTTTCAAGCATTTTCCAAATAGTAGTAATTCCAATGAAATAAAATTAAATTGAAATTAATGTTCTATTTTTATTAACTTCAAAAATTAATTCTTTTATCTTAGAATAAAATATCTAAAAACAAACAAGAATTATCTTCTATTTCTTCATATCTAATAAGGAAAATAACTCAGAATTAAGCGTTACATTCGAAACTTGTAAATATTTCGATCAATGACGAACATCACGGATAATCAGTCTTGAACACGATTGAACACACGTGAGTATTAACATTTCTACAATATATTAATTTTGGCAATTATAAACGACCATTAACAATTTATAAACCACTGTGCACCATTATTAATCTATTGTAAATCTTTACTTCAGCAAACAATGTCTGTTCAATGATTTAAAGAATGACTTCTTCTTCGACTTGAGGTAGGGATAACCCCTTCTCTCTAGATTACAATGTACGAGAGCTAGCGTGAACTAAAATTTTCATTTCGTATCGAGCCAACGAGCTTGACGGATCTCCTGGATTCTCCACTCTAATTCTAATTCGAATTCCTGATTAGACAAGTACTTCGTTTTAATTAAATAACTTTTGCTCCCTATTATCTACCTTAGGCACCCAAGACACCTCTTTTACCATTCTCTTTTATCTTTGAAGTTTTTTAGCAACAATGGAATTTACTCTTAATTCAATTTAACATTTTATAACTTTTGTTTTTCGCTTGATTAAATTGTTAGTGACTTTTACACCTAATTTCCTTGGGTTCATAGCAATTCCTATTCATAAATTTTTCAATTTATTAGCAATTTAATCCTTACTTTTGAATTTAGTTGATTAACTTCGACAATAAGTAACAGTAAACGTATTGGCACTTTATACAGGGTGTTACCTCTAACGCGACGCACGATTCTTCACCCACTTGCAGCAATTTGACGAAACAATGTTTGAAACAAGAATTGCAGGGTATGGAGTGTACAATAGATATCAGTAAAAGAAATTTCGAAAACAGTTTATTTTCAGGTCGAAGTCAAGGTCACCTTGGGTTTTACAAATAGGAGCACATTTTTTTTACCATATTGTACAGGACATCGAAACGAATTCAAAACACATATTACATGATATTTTTACTAACGTATTACTCGATTCACTGTAGTGGAAATTTGAAAGATTTAGCTTTCTGTCGTATTTGGCCTGAAGACACTGTAAACATTGTTTGACACTGAAGAGGTCACTGAATGTAAATACGGAATATTGCTTAGACGAAATTGATAGTTTGTCGTTGCGGTTCCTTTGTTAGTCTTCGTTGGTTATCACGCAAGATCGTACTTCCAATATTTGCTGCAAAGTAATCGTTTACAACAATGTGTTCTTTTTCAAATTCCGAGAGAATTGAAATGATATTAATTTTTGGCGAATGCAAGAGAAATTCTCGAGAAGCTATTAAAATGTACAGAGATAGGTTTCCACAACGGAAACAACCTTCTGAAGCTACGTTTCGAAGAACCGTAAAATATTTGCGTGAAAACGGACGATTTCCTAATGGGAAACAATTGCATCATCAAATAAGCATCATTCATTAAAATTTACTACAGTTCAACATTTACGCGCTACAGACACAGAACGACGGCTAGAGTTCATTGCATGAATCATTACTAAGTTTGAAAACGAACCAAATATTTTAAATAATATTATGTGGGCGGATGAATCTAAATTCACAAACAATGCTGTTTTTAACCGATACAACACACTTGGGCAGTAAAAAATCTGTTTAATGTTCGAGAGCGTAACTATCAAACAAAAATATGTAAGTATTTAAATACAATTTCTCTTAACAATTTCTTGCCATTTTTCCTCAGTTATTATTCTTATATCTTCTTTCTTCCCATTAAAAGCAATTAATGTATGGCGTGGTATTTTAATTGGGCCATATTTTTACAAAGAGAATGTGACATCACAAAGATATTTACACTTTTTGCGTGAAAAACTTCCGCAATTAATGGAGAACATTCCCAACTACATAAAAAGAAAAATGCATTATCAACAAAACGGTTGCCCAGCATATAATTCACGAATAGTTGTAAATTATCTTAATGTTACATTTCAAAATCACGTTATCAGTACGTATGGGTCAATACGATGGCTAACACATTCCTCGGATTTATCTCCACTTGATTTCTTTTTATGGGGACATTTATAACACATTGTGTATCAATCGACAATTAATAATATTGAAGAATTAAAGAAAGAATCATCAATATGCAGAGCTACGGATCCAGCAAGTCTAATTGCAGCAACACATTCAAACTTCTGTAAAAGAGCGGAATATTGCGTTGCGGAAGGAGGAATGCATTTCGAACATGTAATTAAATAAAGAGCATTTTTCTTATGTTCTGGTCGCGTGTTTACATTCGCTGAGCTTTTCAGTGTCAAACAATGTTTACAGCGTCTTTAGGCCAAATACGACGGAAAGCTAAATATTTCACATTTCCACTACAGTAAATTGAGTAATATGTTAGTAAAAATGTCATGTAATATATGTGTTTTGAATTCGTTTGGATGTCCTCTACAATGTGGTAAAAAAAAATGTGCTTCTATTTGTAAAACCCAAGGTGACTTTGACTTCAACCTGAAAACAGTTTTCGAAATTTCTTTTACTGATATCTATTGTACACTCCATACCCTGTAATTCTTGTCTCTAATTTTTTTTCGTCAGATTGCTGCAAGTGGGTGAAAAATCGTGCGTCGCGTTAGAGGTAACACCCTGTATACACCCATTCCTACCATAAATAACTGGTTATAACTGTTATAAAATAAAGGGAAACAAATTAAACGATAAATTTTCCTTAGTAACAGCTGAACAAAAGAAAAGACAAAAATTGAAAAACTGATTAACCGGACGATATAACGACCGATACAAAGTTCAATGGTCGAAAGAAAATGCAGAATTTTCTGTGTTGGTCATTTCTCTCTCTAACTATTTGCAGCTCCAAGCGACTTTCATTATGTAAGAATTTAGGTGTGAACGTAGTGTGAAGATGGCAAGTATGAATAGAGTGAAGATGACTGATGACCACGACGTGCCGCACTGACAGTCGAGGGCGGCAAGTTCGAAGAGGAAGCTGGCAGAAAGGGAAATTGCGAGAAAGGCCTGGAATGTAGGAGAATGTTCAAGAAGGTTCGGTTGAGATCAGCTTCCGGTTCGGAAGTGATGAAAGAACGAGCAGCACATCCGTGGCATCGGTCAATTATCAGAATCCTTAGAATTAGAGAATTTTCTAAGCTACTAGACGACTTCAATCTTGATCCAACTTCTTCCATAGTGATTCTCATTGTTTAGTTGACTACTGATGACTTTCATCCCTAATTTCCTTGAGTCACTAGTGACTTTCACCTCAAACTCTTGTGAAGATTAGTTTCATCCCTAATTATCTCCATGTACTAGCAATTTTCATTTCAAAATCTTATGGAACATTAACGGTTTCCGATTCTAGATTCCTTAGAACGTTTCTAGCTTTTACCCCAAACTTTTCTTAAGTACTTCAGTTTTCCCAGTTCCAAAGTTCTGGCAGCGCTGTCCTCGAGGTCACGAGTTTTGACTGGTTGAAGCCATTGAAAGGTACTTCCTCCAATGACACTAATCTATCTCAACGCTTCTTTGTCTTAATAGCCGCTTGTCGTGCGTGAGGCACCCATATATGCGATGAGGCCTGTATAAGCCACACAAGTGCTAAGAACGGTGGCAGCCATACACTTAAATACTGATTTCAAAATTGTACTATAACTTATGAACACCAAAGTACACGAGTAAACAAGAATACTAATAAAAAGAAGAAGGATGAATAATAATCGATCAATCAGAAGATAATCTCCTAAACGATATATAATCTTGTGTGAAAACAGCTAAGGTACTTGCAAGACTGAAAAAGAAAAATCGATTATCTCGAATTTGTATCATAGTAATCAAGTTTTGCTAAAATTTCTAAATGCATATTTACAGTTACTGATGTCTGATACCCTCAGACTCAAGTACTTTATTTTTTCTTCTCTAAATATTTATTACTTAACTGCAATTTTAAGTTTCCTGAAACATGAGTAGGGGAGAATCGGATAATCGCAGCCAGCTGACAGAAATGGTCAATATTATTATTAAAAAGTTCCTAATTTTTCTTGTTTATGCCTTATTATGCCGTTTGCTATGCGTATGCGCGGTTGCTACTCAATCGCTGCTCAACAACAAAGAAAAACAAGCTTTATCTGTTTTTTTAGCATGATTGATGTAATATTTTCTGTACAGAACATGAGTTATATAGTACTAATTTTGAAGTATTTCTTACAATTTGACTGTTATTACCAATAGATATATTACAAATAGAAAGGAGTGTGTTAATCTAACTATCAAAAGCAACGGTAATAGCGATATAAGCAAAATGAAAAATAAACGCCACATTTACTTGCAATTTGGTAATATTTTGACGATGAAATATAGTTTTCCTCGGATAATCATTGCTTACTAATGATTACTAAGTGACAGCTATTACCCACAAGTATGGGCAATAATGGTCAAAGACATATTTCTCATTTCTACAAATGTTGTTATTTAAATGAATGTCAAACCATTCATTTTTATTGCACCAATAGATACATAATTTAAGTTTATGAAACACTCATTTAAATAAATATTTTACATCGTATTTTCATTCCAGTTGCAGCTTAATTGACCGTCATTACCCCTTTCTTCCCTATCTTTGACACTATTCGGTAAATGTTTACGTCGATTTTGATTGATGCAATTACACCTGTATGTGCCTCAATTATCTATTTTTAACCCTGTGCCTTCAAATTCCGAATGGACGAACATGAATTTTTCGAGGAGCAGTAGAGTAAACCGTACAATAAATGCCCCTAAACCTAGTGTTAAGTTTCTCAAAATAAACAAACAGGGTGGTCAATAAAAATAAATTGCCCAAAAATTTCTCATTACTATTTAAACCACAGAATGAATGAGAATAATGGCAGAAATGGTTTTAAAAGAACATATAGGTATGCTCTACGCATAATAGTGCAGAAGAATTCGTCATCACGGTCATTATAGAGGTCATTATAGTATCAAGTTTACCCATGTTATATTATGTAAAGACATTATGTGAGAAGCCTTGATATTTTTGTTAATCGCGTGTAACATGTACGTCGGAGGTGTTTTATAATATATCACCTTTTTTGTAAGCTCGTCAAAATGTCCTTAATAAAAGAAATTATTTTTTTGTTGAATTCACATTTTTACAAGATACTTCAAAAAATTTGTTAACCGACTGACAAACACTACCTCATTTATTTTATTAACTACTATCTTTAATTGTTAAATATTATTTATAAGTTATTGTATACGTTAATATAAGTCAATCAACACTAAACTGTTTTAATGGAAAAATATAGTGATATGCGACACTGACGAAAGAAGCAAATAATCCGCAATTTTTTGCTCTCAAACATCGTCATTTTTATGTAATCGTCTCATATTACGAAATCAATTTACAATATGAGCATACATTACCGGAGGACTTTGTATTATTTAAATCCGTACTAACAACATTTAAAAATTATAAATTATCTACTATACTCTAGATTTCATTTGTTTATAAAATGGCAAAAGAGTACAATTATTCTCCAAAATTTAATTCAGTTACCGTTTCTTTACAATTTAGACAAATCATTGACAGAGGAACCGAATTTCCATATAATTTTATTTTTTCAAAATTTATTTATGAATATTGTAGTTTGAAATGAAACATTACTTTATACAATCGAGGAAAACCATCTACTATAGTATTAAGAAATTAGTTAATATGTTGCACATTTTATGAATTATTCACTCAGTGTAATTAAATTATTTACTGAAACAACTGTTTTTCGTTTCGTTGGTTATGTAACAGACACTGTTTGAGTAATCAACATAAGATGAGCTTGGTCCACATATTATCAAAGATCACGCCGCCCAAAATGATCATCCAAGGTCGTGACATAATTTTCCAGAATACTGTTGCAACAGGCAATAAGTCAGACGGAAAAAAACCTTTACGTTTTCATCTATCTAATTTAATTATCTTAACATCATACTCATGTACCTTTGTAACTGTGTAAAAAGGCCATCGAAATTCATTGAAATAATTTAAATAAAGTAGTAATAATTGTGTCATATTATTAAATTCTACAATTATCTTGACTCCAAATTTTGAATATCGTACATTTCAAAATACATTGCATCGTGAAATTTCTATTTTATTTCACTTTTGGCAAATTATGTAAACTATTATACAAAACGCCTACATTTATATACACATTTAAAGTTTACTTGAAAGAAAAAGATATTCAATGATCGTAAGGTTGACTTTGAAATCTATGATATAATTATAGATACAAAAATAAAATAATTGCACCGAGAAGTAGATAATTTTTATTTAATTGTACCACGAAAAAATTCTTTGAAACCATTTTTCGTAAATACTATGAACAATCGGGACACGGAAACGATTTTATGCTCAATTATTTTTTAAAGAAAAGATTAGATCGAAGAGAAATCATTTTTCCGACAATTATGTTACATATACGGAATCCGTTGCATTTTTACATCACGGAAAGACCTAACATGAAAATGATATTTCGCCTGTCGCAAAGTTGCTCTTGAATATTCAAGAATGTTTGAACAAGTCAGAAGGTGACTGCGATTCCGTCCACCGTTGACACGTTCGTGGACGTAAATGCTGTGGCATTCATTTTCATTATTATGCAAAGTTATATGAATGTTTTAACATTAAAATTAATGGGACAAATTACCATACATTTAATTCTATGTATCCTTCGTTTTTAAAAATTTTAAACTTTTACTATTCGTGAAAGTGTTAAGAGGAGAATTTTCATGATCACGCGTATTACAAGACTTCCGGATATGAGCTACGCATTCTGCACCTTGTTCAATACTTCAAAGTCCACAGACGTTCAGTGCTTACACATTCAGAAAGTTACGTAACACTGAAGTTTAGAATTGATGTATCTGCGTTTGAGTTACAACTTAACTTAACAACAAACTTTGATAAAAAATCAACCACCAATTTTGGTAATTTGATGGACATTAGTTCGTTTATTACGTAATTCCATGGATTGATGAGTTTATAGTATAAGAAGATCTTGAAAATATAATGGAATACAAAAATCAATGAAATTTAATTTTATCTGATTTCAATTACTTGAAATTTGCGTATAAAAATATAAAATTGTATATGGTTCCATAATCTGATTTTTATAAATACAAGACTCCTAACAAAAGTGAAGATAAAATTTAAAATAGAAGTAAAAGTAAAATTTTCCTACGTAATTTTCTATAAAGTACATCCTTTACGCGAATTCTTAAATGTATTTCTGAATGAAAACTACGGATAAAAGTCGTGGTTTGAATGTTATGTTAAAAACTACAACTTGATATTTATGAGGGGCTACTTGCTTTGCAAGTGAAATTAACCAAAGATCGTTTGAAATAATTAAAATAGGCAATCAACAGAACTGAACGTGACCCGGTTCATTATATACATTTATATTTGGTATTTTTAAATCGTAATAACGTTGCTTTAAAAAATGATACTAATCTTGAACCATTAGGTAAAAAATATTCTTGCATTTATAACAAAGGACATCTGTGTAACCTAATTTATACTTTATTAGAGGTTTGGTTACGAGTTAGTATAATACAAGAAGTAATAAAAACAGGTTACTATTAGGTATACTGTGTACAGAATAATATACACTATTTCCTTTCAATAAACCGATAATATACTTTAAGTTAAAAAAATTTAACATAAATATACTTCCTAAAAGGAGCAAATAAAAATTTGATATCTTCGATTTTACGAAATAAAATGTATATTTATTAAAAGGGAAATGAGAATGAAAACATGACTTAATCGATTATCCCCATTCAAACATTACGCAACTCAGAATTAACATAAAAATCTCCAAATAAATTACCGAAGCGCTGAATACTAAAAATCCTGCGCAATTATTCGGTGCGATATTCCGAACCATCGTCATTGAACCTTATCAAAACCGGTTCGTTAATCTATACATAGTGTGTCATTCATCATCACGGGTGTATTACGAGTAATTCCGGATTTCTTCCGGAAACTATGTCTGAAGTGGAACTGTTAATTATCTCATCCCATCTCAGGATCAACAGGCCCAAAGTTCACCTGCAGGCCCGACGATTCTCTACATTTCTTTCTTCCTCAATAATTACCGTTCTGACCTAAATTCTACACAGATCTCTCCATTTCACCGTGTACGCACAGCAGGTTTCATAACTGCCGGTGCATTCCGATAGGTAGCTACATATTTTACACAGAAAGACTCTACGGAAAGTTGTGTGTCATGTTTTACTCTCTTGAAATCTGTCCACCATTCTATCCCTTCCGGATTAATACTTTGTGACACGTAGCCATCTCTCCGAAAATGTTTAAACAAGGCTTAGAATATTGTAATGAAACATGTATTTTTATATTCTATGAATATGTATTTTAAAGCGTCTTTGAAATCACATTGTAAATTCGGCAAACAATAGACAGATTAGGTGTTTGCAAGCTTCAAACACATCGTCACAAAGGGACAAAGAGGTACACAACTTTAGAAGCCTAAAAGTTATAGGCGATTTTAACATATTTTTCACCTATGTTCGTAAGGATCAAAAACTCTTGTAAGATATATTAATCGATATTTTAGCTGTGTACTTATGTTTTTCTTATTATCTACATTTAAAAATGTACAGTTCTTCAATATCGAACTGAGGAAATTAATAAATTGTGGATGAATGAAAATATGATTTTGTTATTCGCAAAACAAAATCAATTTTAAACATTTATTAAAATTTAACGATCCAAGTTACCGAAAGACCATTTGTTATGTGGAGGATAATGCTTACTTCGTTCAAGTTACAATATCGAAAAACTCCACCATTTTGTAACATTAAACAATAAAAAAAACATAAATATATAATACATCCAAAACAACTTGTATATTTCTCACAAAAACCTTCACTCCTCACCAAATTCTACACAGATGAAAACAAGTCAAAATCACCCATTTCCTTCCAAGAGTACACACCCCTCCAAGTAAGCTCAAGTCACAAGGGATCAAATCTTCAAACTTAAACTTCGCGAAGCAGTATCGGGTAAATCGTGCGTGGACCTAACGTCCAATGCAAAACTCTCTCATAAGCGAAGCATCTTGTGAAAAAAGAAACTCCGCAGTGCGCATATCAAATACACATTTCATCGCGTTGAGCCATCAAGAACGAAGTCCGTTAGCTGGGCGACTTCTACAATCGAATTAAACGATAGGGGAAGGGATAGGGAGAGAAACAATGTACGGATAGGGAGGAAATAAAAAGAAAAGAAACAAAAATGAAAGAAAAATCACCTGAGCCGCTTGCGGCGTTCAACCAATCCCGGATACTCATTCTGCGGCACCTGGGCAGAGCTGAGATCGTACCCATCGGACGGGAAGATATCCTCGATCTCCAGTTCCTCGGACGGATCGGGCGCCCCGACCACGAAGCTTACTGGATTTTCCGACATGGTACCGGGGGACTTGACAATACCGTCCTCTCCCGATCCTTGTTGATTGGGCACACTGTCTACGCGGTTGGCGTTACCTTCAAAACAGTCGTGTACGTGTCAAGAACAACTAGTCCGACTTTTGTGCCCCGTAGGCGCGCTTCGTTCGCCCGGTATTTGCATAATATTTACAAGTGTGCTCTGCCGCGTTCTCCCCGCGGTGTGCCATTCAAACGCGATGATTTCGAGCAAGCGAATAGAGACATATCTGACGGAATTTTTCAGTGTCACGGTTAAGGGCCGCTCTCGAATTGGTTTCCTTTTCTGTCTTTTTTTCTGGTTTTCTTTGGTTTTGTTTGGAAATTAACACATTCGCGGCTATGGCAATGTTTCTCGGATTTCTTTAACCAAAACCATTAAAAAGAGACAAAAACAGATAAAAGGCTTGTATAAAAGAAAATCTCATTGTGAAAAAGTAAACGTTCATTTGATTTGAAGTGTCAGGCTTGTAAATAATCGTTGTTGGAAACAGACAAAATTTTCTCAATAAATAAGCAGGGAGAAAAAGATAATTAGAGGTGGCGTGAATTCACGTCAACGGCCGTGAATGTGTTAAAACACACCCTTTGTGTTTGTAAGGGACATTTCTCAGTTGACTGACCGCGATGATTTTTTAGATACAGAATTTGATGAACTATTTCGTACATATTCTTTTTATACTGACAATTATTCGTTTGAAGTGGAAGTAATACTCAAAGTTGAAGTTAAAGAATATACGAAAGCTTTGCATAAAATATATTGACCTAGGCTATGTTATCATCGAATTCGTACCGTGTCTAGACTAGTTTTTATTGAAAAAATTCTGTCAACACTTCCACTTTGTGAATACTAAGAAAATAAATAGTACTTGTCAAAATGTTTCTGATCGAATAGTAAAATTGAATCTTTGTCACACATTGGAAAAACTGAGATTTTTATTACTATTTAAAAATTTAATATGAGCATATCATCATCGATTGGAAATATTTTTTCAACCAACAAAATAAATCGAATGACAACATCGACTAGATCAATGTTAAAACGAATTCACTTTTAATTTTTTAACGAATCTTGTATGTATCTGGAACTTGACAGCAGATGGGTAGTATCTGTAGTAGATAACACCTTATTGACAGCACTTGTTCTCATGTCCGTAGATGACAAGTTAACTAGTAAAAATCGCGTTAAAGCAAACAAAAAAACAACTCTATTCCTTATACAAAAAACTTGTCATAACTAAACATTCGAAACAAAGTTGAGTTTCAATGAATCAATTAATTATCCTCATATTGTTATAAGAATGAAACGAAATCTTTTTACAGCAACCTTTCATTGAAAATATAATTTTCTTGTAAGAATTAATATTCATTAAAAATAAAGGTTACGATAATAGCATATTAAGAATATAATATTAATAATTTTTCTTCTAGAAAACTAGAAGACAATATAACAATAAAAATCCGCCTTGCAGAGAATGCTAAAACTGTTTGAATGTCACTTTAGATTAGTAATATATTTAATAAAAAGATAATAAATGATACATGTAATAGTATATTATTAATATATTTTCTAGTACTTTAATATATTTCGTTTAAGTGCCAGAAGAGAACGCGTGCAAAGGACAGCTTGAAATTGTCATATTTATTTCTAGATTTCTACGTTCGATTCGGTGTTGTTTAAAACTGGCATAAAAACTTTTTCGAGAGCGGTCCTAAATTTGTCCACGCCTAACGACTTCATTTACAGGCGAAACTTCCAAACGATCGAACCGCGTGGTTCATGCCAAAACAAGCCGCATGCATATCCAAGCGATTCCCTACCCAAGAGGATGAACATTTCGATTCTTCTAGGTAGCGACGATTATCGTTTGCATGGCGGACGAGGTTTCAAATTCGTTGAACCCAACATAGAGTGAGGAACATGCAGATGAATAGTGAGCGTCGTGACCGTTTGATGTCGTCACAGCTCGAAATTTTTATATCCACGTAAGGGTAAAAATACAGGGTCACGTTAGGCGACATGATAGACGATCGTTAGTATGTAAATTGATTTACATTAGCACAGATTATTTATCAGTGAATGCGGATTACTTTTGTTTTTATTAATTGTGTAACAGGTTTCTGAGGTAATAAGTAACGTATATGTGTATACATTACATCACATGTCTTCTGTGCGAGGTACATTGTCGAGTTTTTATAACAAATTACGAGACAGCTTTTTTACAACAGTAAAAAAGAATAGAAAAGATGATATACGTATATTTAGTTGGACGTCCTTCTGAATTATACAGGGTGTCCTGTAACTGATGGAACAATTGGGAAAATATCTGATCATACATGAACAAATATAATAAATCGAAAACATAGAATATTCTTTTTCATTGGAGATCTTGTTTTCGGAGAAAATGAACATTGAACATTTGTTAAATACACATATAATTGACTAATTATCATTGACTGACCACAAATGCAAAACTACATTGTACTATTGGGAATTATTCTACATTGGAAAATAAATGAAAAAATAAGAAATAAATCTCGCTCCGCGCGTTTAGTTTACTCTTTCAGGTATGATAACTTTTTGTTGATCGGTTCTGAGTAGAAGAATTTTATTACATGTGTTTGATTTATTCCTTTCCCAGTTCTACCACTAGTTAAAAGACTTTGTGTATAAAAACTAATTATATCGAGACGACTAAGAAAACAATGTTGTTTTACAAATGATTATTTGATTACCAGCCATTATTTTAATCGTTTGAATATTTATTTTCAATTACTCTTTTTCCATAGTACGTTCATGCTGTTCGGTGAATTGATTCGAATCTCACGTAACAATCAATGCATATCTACATGTAGCATATCTAATCTACACGTAGAATCGTAGTTGCGATCAAAATATTATACATTCTTTTATGTGTTTTAGAAACTGGCATTATATTTTGTCATACTTAAAAATTCTGAATTACAATTTTGAAATATCATATGACAATACAAAATGAAAGTGAATACAAAGTGCTAATTTTACTTTGTTACCTAGTTATCTATTTAGCGAGCTAATGAGATTCACGATATTCAATTTAGAAGTTGTTTCCGACGAGGCGAAAAGATTAACTTGATATTATTAATTAGGAAATATAAACGACCGTTTATTTCTGGGAGATAAAAAAGATTCTCCATTTCGCGTGAATAGATTACACAAACTGTGCAAAGTATTTTAATTGAATCGGTCTGATCGTAATCGTATAATCTACTTGAAATACAGTAGAACATTCTTAATCTGAATTAATTGAGACAGGCATATATTTACTTGCGATTTCAGCCAGAAGAACATGCGCTTCAGCGTGACGGATCTTCATGAATAGGTCGGAATCACAATAATTCTCAGGAATCAGATTTTCTTTCATTGTGGCGGTAGAAATTCGTGTTTCAGATTATAAATTCCAAGTAAAAACGACACCACAGCAAGAAAACCTTCGAATTAGAATCTTTTCGTGGAGCGAGAATAAAAGAAAAATAGAACATTTAATTAATGCGAGTTCTACTGTATCCATTATAATTAATTATCTAATAATAACTCCTACGCAACAATTCATTTTACATGTTTCTTGTGCAACTCAAGCAAAATGAAATTTCGACTTTAAAACTATTTCGAGCATCGATGAAAAGTAATCAAACGCATTACAAAGATCCGTTTCGTGCAACCGCGTTTCTAAATTTCAACGATTCGAAGATTACCATGACAATCATGGCGATTGCATAACCAGCTGGCTGCTTCTAGTCAATCCCGTATCGTGATAACGTTAATTTGCATGAATCGACTTTGATAGGCTCGAACTTTATTATTGTAGTTCGATACAATGCTCGGTGCACTTTATTTTCCTCGCATCGGTTCAATGGAACGAATATGGCGTTAGAAGTTCAAAATCGGTCACAGGTGAGCTCACATTCGCGTAATCAAATAATTTCTCGATATAATGTACTCTTGACTATCGTATCTTATACATATGCAAGGCCATTTTGGTCTGATCGAACTTACGTATAAATAAAAAGAAATGTTACATAAGCGATAGGTCGTTCGCAGCTTTATCAGAAAGTTACGACAGAAATACGAAATATCGTGGTAACGATTCGAAATAGGTATCCACGTGTATCTTTAGAAACGACAATGACAAAAGTTACGTTCCATACCTCTCAAGGACCACAGATAGTAAAAGCAGCTCGCACAATCAGATTAGATGTAAACATCACTGATTTGCTTTGTATCATGGTAATCAAAACTTCTATGTCATACCCTTGGAGCTTCGTATTTTTGCCATAATTGTACCAAACAAGGCTTTGAACGACTTATCATTATGTAATAATTTTTTTTAAACAAAGTTTAGTTGGAGAAGACGGGATCACTTTGTATAATCTAAGTTATGTTTCTAATATGATTTCGGAAAAAATACTATACTAATGTAATGAAATGTTATTTATCCATTTTTTGATTGTGCACCACCTTTAGCCAATATTATTTAAAAATAAAGCATTAATTACATTAATCGTACATCATGTTATTGACCAATTAAAGGACAATAACACGAGTAATAGCAATAATGGTAAATAGAATTGCGTTTACACGTGTTTAAAAGAAATCCAACTAATCTCAATACGTAATATGTGCCTCTATTTTAAGAACAAACTGAGAAATTCCTCGAACGCAGTTAACACGTAATAGTGATAAAAAAACTTGCGTATACTATCAGTTTCTCTGTATTTGTTACAGAATTATAATGTAAATAATTGATGTATCATTGTAAATGACACCTGTACACATTATATTTCATACTTTTTATACCATTATACCGTAAAAACTGTGCTCGATGTAATGAACATATTCATTACTATGTTCCCTATACCTCAGTGTTCAATATAAAACGAATTCAAGCTACACCTGTCACGATAAACAAGAATCCCAAATTAAATTCCACTAAATCTCAGACTAGACTGAGGATAACCAATTAAACACGAAAAATATTCGGCTCGGAACAACCTGGCCAGAAGAGTACACAGAGAACTACCTTGTTGCCTTTAACACAACACAAAAATCCACACCTTAAACGCCGAAGCAACGAAAGGCGGCAACGTTCTAAGCGTTTCAACCTTTCGTCCGCATTTCGCGATCAATTTTACGGGTTGGCGCCATCCATCGGCGGCGATGGTTTCACGCGAACGAATTCATGAATGTGGGATTAGTCATTCCAGTAGTTTGGAGCCCAAGTTACCGATCTACCAATGTCATCGACAAAAGCCAAACACAATAATGAGCCCTGGTGGAGGGAGAATGAAGGAACAAGTGAGGGGGTGAAAGTATGAACACATCCAACACAAGGAGTATACCCAAAAAACAGGAGCCTGCAGATCTCAATCGTTGACGTAGACAGAGATGATTTGCCAGAGATTAATCGGATGCCGATGCGGAACAGCGAAGTCAGTAATCGAAGAAGCGATCTCAGAAGACACGCCGAAAACCGGTGGTTGATGAAGCCTCGGTGGTTACTCACCCTCTATCCTTCTACGACCGCGCACCACACCAACGGTTAGTGAAAGGTCAGACCGCCACCTTTCCTGTATCCGATCAGAGTGAACGTGTCCAAGGCGAGCGTATCGGCGTGCTAGTGCAGCTAGGGAGAAGCCGAAGAGGACGAGGAACGTAGTGACGAGAAACGGTTGAAGCGCTTCGGGAGTCAGTTTGGCGATCGAGACTGTGACCTTGAAAGAATTGTTCAACCGTTCAAGTGACCCGCGGGAACGGGCCACGATTTGCAGCGGTCACCTTTGACCGAGTTTCACGTTAACATGTATATGTACGCACACACACACACACGTATATAAAATAAAACTATATTCGTGTATACATATATATGTTCTTTTTGTTTTCTGAACACTTCACCCTCGATATCACGTGGGTCCCGTTGATAACGCGGAGAGACCGAACTCGGAAGCAGCGTGTGCCCGCGATGACCATCGACTGAATGGAATATTACGCGGGCCATCGAACCTTGATACGTCTACCCAAACGACCGTCGAGAAGATCCATCGAGATAAAAAACCTTGGTCAAGACCGAGAGACATTGATCACGATGGTTCTGTATCCTTCAATTTAATTCTCTCGTAAATAGAAAAAGGGAAGAAATTACATGAAAGAAACGGATATCACGGAACAAAATTCAGATGGCAGAAGAATGGTTGACAACGGGCGCGAAACGTGACAACGGGACAACGTCGATCTCAGTCGCGAGACAATAATGATTATAAAATTAGTGATGTACCGAGCAAAGTGTCCAAAAGTCCCCGAAGCATACCAAATACAAAATCGTGATCCCTCGGTTCTCTTCTCGGTTCCTCGCGGCGAATCTGAATCTCTGTGTCTCGGTTGGGGCGTCGGTCCCTAGCCTTGGACGTCTCTGAAATTGTCACAAGAACAGAACGAATATTCTAATCCTGCTTTTAACACTCTGGTTCTTGGACTTGTCCGATGTCCTCGAGAAGCCTCAAATGAGAAGGAGAGTTCACTTGGGCTAGTCACGAACGTATTTTCCCTGTCGGTTCTGTTTTCGAGCGCACGATCAGGCGCTGGTTCCGCGAGTCCTCATCATCGCTGCGGCTCTCTATCAGACGACCGATTCGTTTCACCACGAGGAGCACGAAAGGAGACACAACGACGCACTGGCGGTGTGTTAGAGCTCGCGCGATGCCGACGCCGCGGGCTTTCGCGCGTTGCGTCCACCGAGGAGAGGAAATCGGCGGCTCGGGAAACGGTCGCGCGGTGTCCGACCGCGAATGATTACGGGGAAAAAGAGACCGGACGACAGGGTTCAAGGGTCGCCGGACAGCCGACGACGATACTTTCTGACCGCCGCGCTTCGTCCCGCTGAACTTGGCACGCGGCGATCGACCACGACCACGAATTGTATCTTCATCGATAAACCAACGATCCAAGGCTACAGCTGGACGACATTTTCGCGAGTACACCTCTCTTTCTCACTTACTCGCTCACTCTCTCTTTCTCTCGCTATTGCGACGCAATATTTTTCGACCGGTTTTTGGTGGGTTTTCCTGTTATCGAACATGTTTGTCTCGCAGGCAAATGCCGATGTTTGTTTTCAACCTTTTCCTTTATTTGAGGAAGTGGGGAATTTTGTTTTAGATTCTTTAAACGTAGTTTTCGATGAATTTGAAATGGACTAAATAAAATGTCTTTGGATCTATTTTCTTCCGTTTCTTTGCTATTGTTTTATTATTGTGTGTCATTGTGAGAGATTCTTGTAGAAAATAGGGAGTTTGGGAGATAATATTTTCTTGCAATGTATATATTTTTTGAGTGGTAGTTTTTCTTTGACATGAAACGGTTTTCAGATTTATTTGTAGACGAAAGACTTTTTAATAAGAATACTTCATTTCTTGTGCAATATTATTTCGCATTTTCGATTTATTCGTTTCGCCTACGACTGGACGCGCTACGCTCAACATTATTTCCCGTCTATTTATCGTTCTTCCGTTACACGTTGCATTAAGCCTGACTCCTATTTCCACGGCATTTCCATTCAAATTTCTTTCACCAGTAATTTTCCATTGATGTCCAGCCTCTTTGTTCCTATTTAAATAATTCTAGACAACATCGAACTAGTTTTTATCTCCCTCGCACTCGTTATCTGTGGGTACCGTTAAGAGTGACCTCAACTTTTTATATAATATTCTCCTCGATACCGCAATCTTAAGTGTTGCTCCCGAGAAATTGGGCATCGGATTAGTTTCATTAATATTTCGGCTCGATACGAACGCTTCGGAATTTCTAATCTTTTCAATAACTTCTTCTTAAATTTCTATTACTTCTTTACAGACGTGCTACATTCCCTTTATCTCCACCTGAAAGCGAAAATTCTCTCATTTTTTCCTTCCTCCAGTTTACCTGCACAATTTGGAGACTGCTCCATTCGTTGTCGAAAGGTTGAAAATTCTTCTGAAAGCTCTTCACGCAGAATTCCTTTCGGAAATTCTATCTTCCGTCCGCTTCCTCACACCCTCGAAATTGTTCGTCCAGCTTCCTCGTTCATCGGGGGTCGTAAATATTCCGTTGCTCACGGCCAATCCTGTTCAATTCCAACGCGGATAATGTTTTGAACCAGGTCTCCTACGTCACCTTAGCTGATTCGAGTTGTCATATTCTCGAGTTTCTTGGCCGCCCGCGGACATTATCGCGATGAGGAAGGACGCCACGCGACGGTATCGTTTCTACGCACTCCGCGGTGACGTCTTTCGCGTAGACGTGTTGTAACAGGCTACGATGTAAGTACACAACCGCCGCGTTCGATGTGTAAGCGTTATGTAATACATGTACCGCGTACTATTACGTTGTAGAATACGCGTAAAAACGTGTAAAATAAGCGATTAGACGAGGCCGACATTTCCATTCGAAACTACTCGCGCGGTGATATCGAAGTACACTTTCGATCGGGTGCAACACAGCTCGATCGTTGCACATGAAGTCACCGATGGCGACGACACACTTGATGGTAGCACGCTGATCACTGAAATTTTTGTTATCCGACAACGGATGGGGGCTGAACTTTCAATTAGAAATGTAGATGTCATGTGAGTATTATACTTTTACCACGTTGAACGATTATTCTGCCATTAAGAATTTGCAGTCAGATGTGTTTCTAGACTTTTATTTTGGAACTTGTATGAACGTTCCTTAATTCTTTAGGGAGATTTTCAAAAACAGATAGTAAAAGTCTTTTCCATAAAGAGCCAAATTATATATAGGACTTTTAACACTAGGGTTAAACAGAGCGCGTCAATTTGACACGCATGAAATTTTATAAACACCATTTAGTATATGTTTACGGCGACTTTGATTGATACAATTATATCAATACGTACTTTAATTATTTATTTTTAGACCTCTAATTTCCAAACTATCACTATTTCAATTTATTTGATAAAATTTGAGGGATAAAGTAATTTATAAAATGTATCATTTAAAGAATTCTAGTGAACACAGTTCAGTTTCAAAAATTGTTGTATATTTACCTCTGAAATGTAGTTCATTTTCGCATGAAAACTTCTTCATTAATTTCAATGTTTATTTTTCTCAAGATCAAACGTCAAGAGTTTCACAAAAGTTTGGAAAGGGAAACAAAGAAAAATAAAGTTTTATTGCCTGCATTAATTAATTTTAAACAATTTTCAAGCGAGTGCATTATGCAATCGTAAACAATTTTCCTTCAGGAAACTACCGTAAAGTGTATCCATCTGTGTCATTGGTAGCTTCATGTGTCCCCATGTTCTTGTTT